TCATATTATATGTACAGCTTACAAATGTTTAATAAAGCATACGTAACTAGCCTGACAGAGGGCAAAAAAAAAAATTAGAATACTTAGATACAATGATATAAAAATATGTAATATCATGTATCCCCGGCCACAAACCTCGGGTTAAAGTGACCACGTGAGTTTTCCATGCGATGGGCTATAAACTAATCTAAAAAAAAAAAACCAGATATTTAACCGAAATGCATTATTGATAACTTCCTATTATAGTTAGGTGGCACATTTCAAGCCAAATACGTGCGTAATTTGATCTTTCTCCCTTATTACAATGGCTTCATTAAACATCGATTCCCCAAGGATTCAGAATATAATTGATGGGAAATGTTTGGATCCCGTTCAAGCTGCGTCGATAAAATATATTCCCGTTACATCTCCTCATACTGGTAAAGTTATTGCACAATGCCCGGTCTCTTCTCCAGAAGACGTGAATCTAGCCGTCGAAGCTGCAAAGAAGGCGTTTGTAGCCTGGAGGTAAAGATCGAATTCATCAATATTAAATAAACCAATTTTTTTCTCATTCAATTCTTATCCCAGTGCACGCACGGTTAAAGATCGAGTTCAATGCTTGATTCGCTTCCATAATTTATTACACGCGCACATCGACGAGCTGGCTGAACTGATTATATTGGAACATGGAAAGAACAAGGCAGAAGTAAGTCTTGAATTACTTATTATAACTAAATGGTTTTTGAACATTGACCTAATTTTATTTAGGCTATTGCTAGCATTGCTAAAGGCGCTGAGACTGTGGAGTATGCAATATCTCTTCCTCAATTGGTAAATTATATATTATATATTTTTAATAAGTTGACACGAATTCATCAAGTTTTTCTTTGATAGATTCAAGGAAGATTTTTGGAAGTTTCTAGAGGTGTTACGTGTCAAGATACACGCGTTCCATTGGGTGTCGTAGCATCCATCGTACCATTTAATTTTCCAATAATGGTAATGAATCTGATAATTTAATTAGTAATATATTGTAAGGCATCGAGTATTTATTGTTTAGGTTCAATATTTAGGTTCCTATGTGGACTTTACCTATCGCGATTGCCACGGGGAACACTTTAATCTTGAAGCCTTCGGAAAAAGTTCCGCTCACCATGAATCGCGTTGCCATTTTATTGAAGGAAGCGGGCATACCTGATGGTGTTGTCAATATTATTAATGGAACCGCGGATGGTATTTTCATTATTAATTACATGGACACTGATTATAATTGTGAGATTTGTAACTTATTGCTTATGATGATTATTTTTAGCTGTCAATGCTATCGTTGATCATCCAGATGTTAAGGCAGTAACATTTGTGGGTACTTCTCACGTAGCAAATCTCGTTTCTGAGAGATGCCATAGATTAGGAAAAAGAGTCTTGGCACTGGGTGGAGCAAAGGTGAATAATTATAATAACTATACGAGTTGATGTTCCATAAACTTTTACTTGAATTTATTATATAATGTCTACTATATTTTAGAATCATTTGATTGCCGCTCCAGATTGTAATATTGAAACAACATCAACTGATGTTGTAAACTCTTTCACAGGCTGTGCAGGTATGTCTGATCATCTTTATGTTAGGCATTCAATATTAATAGTAACATGTGTAAAAAAAAAATCAGGTCAACGTTGTATGGCAGCTTCTGTATTATTAATCATCGGTTCGCACGAAGAACTTCTTGATCGCATCGTTGCTAAAGCTTCATCTTTGCAACCTGGATCACAATCAGGAGAAATTGGTCCAGTGATTGATCAACAATCATTAGACAAAATAATTAGTTACATAGAGGCATCCATAAAAGTTGGCGCAAAAATATTAGTGGATGGTCGCTCATGGACTCAAAACCGTACAGAAGGTTTTTGGATTGGCCCAACAGTCATTTTGCATAATAACAAAGAAGATAAAGCATTGCATGATGAAATATTTGGCCCCGTATTGAGTATTTATCAATGTTCGAGCAAGGAGGAAGCCATCGAAATCGAGAACAACAATCCCTATGGTAATGCTGCATGTATATACACCACAACTGGAGCAACAGCTGAATGGTTTACTTCGCGATTCAGTGCAGGAATGTGTGGTGTAAACATCGGTGTACCAGTGCCAAGGTAAAGAATTTTCACTCTTAGTATTGATGCATTTTTTGTGACACATTTATTACTATTTTTTTTTTTTTTTTATAGGGAGCCGTTCTCTTTTGGAGGGATAAATCGCTCTAAATTTGGCAACTTTGTTGATATTACTGGTGATGGCGGGATGGAATTTTTCACTTGGAGGCGAAAAGTCACCACTAGATGGGGGCAAGAAAACCTTGATCCAAAATTGAGAATGTAAAACAAATAAATTCCAGAGACAAAATTAGAATTAATGAAGTTAAAAAATTTTACGATGATTCTTTCTTAAATACAAAACGAAAATTTCTTTATTAATACATTAGAATAAAAATTTGTTCTAAGTATTTCGTAGTATTTCAATTACATAACTCAACTCTGATATGTTGATTTGATGTCTAAGTTGTAATAGTTATTGAACAATTATTGAAGTTTTTTCTTAATATTTTTGTAATAATTATTATTTTTTTAAATATTTATATTAATTTTTTAGTTTTGAAATAATATATATATATATTTTTGACCCGCCGTCAGGCTGACACGGATATTTTATCTAAAATAAATATTATATTAACATGCATATAATAATCAACTTATTATTAATTAAAAAATTAAATTATTTAAAAATATATAAAAAGTTTTATTAAGTTATACCGTACTAATCGAAATTGTATTATTTGATAGTTGAATTATTGTTGAATTTGATACTGTTATAACATATTTTTAATTAAAATATAAAATAAATATTTATAATATTATATAGACTTTCATAAAATAACTAAGTTGTTTTTTTTTTAAACCCTCTGTCAGGCTAAGTATATATGCTTTATTAAATATTTGTTTTGTTTTTTTTTTTTTTAAACCCTTGGCCAGGCCAGTACTATGTGTTTATTAATCATATGAAAACCAACTGAGATATATAGGGCAATTGTATCATGGTTAAACTAAAAGCTTGTACTGACACACTCATCGACAACCATCAATTCTCAAAAGAGCTTTGGCCTCTAAGTGCAACCTTGGGAAAATATTTTGCTCTAAACTAAGTTTTGGGTAAAGACCCTCCTAACTTACCCATCATTGTCAGCAGGTTGTCACTATATATTATCCTCCAAGGAACTGAATTCAAGAAACTACAAAAGGAAAAAGAGAAATAAAAGGAAAGGTGACTATCTAAAAATGTGCAAATGTACATATATGAAAATGAAAAAAAAAAGAAAATTAAAATACTCCATGTTCTCCAAAGGATCTCAGCTAAAAACCTCTTCTCATTAGGAGTCAACCCTTCTGAGATATCCTTCTTCTTCTTAATTATCTGAGGAATTTATCCATCCGTGCTCTTGATTATTTTCTTGTAACCATCTGAGGTATTTATCATCTATTCAAATCCAGTGTCTTGCTCAATGCTTCCTTTCTTTCGATCTTGATTTTGTATCCCCCTGTGCAGAAGAAGATGGCTAACGGTGGACCCCAGGTTCTTATGTAGCTTTTCAGTCTTGTTGTGTAACTCTTGATATCTTCCAGCAGCCACACCTAGTTAAAGGAATTTTACTGGTATATATCTTTCATTATCCAAAAAGTCAGATTCCCCAACAATCTTTTTGCCTTGTAATGATGGGAGAATCTGTAAAGGATGGGGATCCTCGTCAATTACGATATTATTATAAAACGTCTGGAGAAATGTATTCTTAATCCTAGAAAAGAGCAGTGTTTTATATTTCTCTGCTTTTTAGTCTTACAACCTGATCGGGATAAAGAAATAATCTCTTTTGTATACTTTGCTTGATCAGAATAATAAGAAGTTGAAGGCCTTGACTTGAACAAATAACCACCTTTTCACTATCTAGAGAATTTAGTCTGTAGTTTTTATTTATTACGAAATAATGTTGTACATATGATGATTTATACATGGTAAATATATTACATACTATATATACTAACTAGTCCTGTTAAGAAAAACCATATGACGCTCTCTTAATTTTTCCTAGAACAATTTTATAGAGTAATCTAGTTATTAGATCATTGCGTATACTCTAACCTGTCCCTGGTTTTGGAACTTTGGCATGGTCCACAGATTCCTCCTCCCACCAAGGTCTCCCAATGATTCGTCACAGGCAAGTTTGACCATGCTTTTAAGCATCCTACCGGTATAATGTTTACTCTCTTCAGGACTTCAGCCTTCTTAACTTGACAACTTCCTTATCGGTCGGTAAGATCGGCAGAGTGTTTTCATCAATTCAGTTTCTGTCCTGGTTGACTATGAGATCAGCCCCATCCTTCTCCACCTTATCATAGTAATGATAAGATACTGATTGTCAACAACACCCATAGACTGGCCTGATCTGATAAAAATCAGCTATAGGTGATACTGTATTACAATGGGTTCTTTCATTTTGAGTATCAGTAAGATAGCCAGGACTGCACCCAATGACAAGTATTAACCTGTTATCCAATGGAATCATTTCATTGTGTGTAGTATTTTTTCACTTGGCCTTCAGGTGGTATTGAACTTTGGACCTTGTGATTGTGACCTAGGAGCACTACTACTGTGCTATAGACCCACAAGTCATTACTTTATTAAATATTTGTATATTTACATTAAAAAATATATCATTAATGATAAATTTTTGCCTAACTTATCCATTTCTATTTTAAAATTTATTAAATTCTAAATGTAACTTTAAAAATGATTTATCACTTTATTAGCAGTTCAAGTAAAGATTCTTTCAACTGTTAACATTATTGATTGCAGATTACTATTATAGATTACTCTATAATATTTTGACAAAGCTCAAAACTTAACTACTTTATTTCAGTAATAAATTAGTTTTAGTAATTATTAATAATCTTAACTACTATTTAGAAAAAGTCTAGACAAGTATTGAAAAAAAAGTAATCAAAGAGTTTAATAGAAGAGAACAAGTTATATTCTTAAAAATCTAGATAGATTATCAAAAACTTGCAATTGAGCTTAAAGAATAGGTGTTCAAAGAAGTCAATATAATAACTAAAGTTCTTAAAAACAAAAGTGATAGATAAACAAGTTTTTTATATTCTAAATAAAATATTAATATCTAAAATAGAATTTAAATGCAATATAACATATTGTCCTAAAAAATATACAATATCTTCACTAGTTAAAAAAAATATATTTGACATACTGTCACTTATATAATATTCAGTGAAAAATAAACAATTCAGTAAAAAAAAATAATATAAATAAATTGATTATCTATAAATATTACAGAAATCAATATATTTATACAATAAAAATTCATTAATAATTTAATAAAAGTTTATTACAAAATTATTTATTGGCAATTTAATAAAAATTTAGTATTAAAAAAAAATCCACACTTTCCCATTTCATCCTACTTCATAAAATTTTTCTTTTTAGGAAGTTCTCTTTTCCCCTTTTCCCTTTCTTATTTTATATGCATTACCAACCATGCAGCAGACAAAGTTTGAGATGTGCTGATCTACACAAGGCTCTGTTGCCTAACTTATTGATGTATAGAAAGTATTATGTCTAGGGAAGCGTGAGCGGACCTGAACTCTGCACATAGCAAATGTCTAAGATGAAAGAAACTGTTTTATGGAGCTGGGACACTCCTGAAATGAGGCTTTGTATATGCCTGAGTCATCATAAACAAGAATACTTTTATTTTCCATTTTATCACCCAACTTCTTAACCTCCCCTATCTTTTTATCCTTCCTTTATTTACACTTACCCCTTAACTTTATATCTTTTCTACTAATAAATAGCTTTTTTCTTTTTCAAGGTTTTCTTCTTAGACTTCTCACTCCTTCTCTCACCGAAACATTTTATCAACCCTATGGAACATCAAGACTTTTTTCTGGTTAAGATAGTGGGCTTAACATATAAAAGAATTAAACAAGACTTCTTATAATTAAAAGATAAATATGTGGTAAGGAAGTCCACATTTTCAAAAATCTAGGCATGGCTTTCTATAATCACTGGCAATTTTATAAAGCCGTATGAATGGAGAAGAGGTAGTAATGATAGAAATTTCATTTGGCAGTACCACAAATATAAGGACTTACTTGTTGAGGACCTAGACTGCCATTGTGTTGATCAAAAGTAAACAGCTAGATAAGAGCTTTTAATTTGAATACTTGATAACTCCACTATTATTCAACTCAAAAGATTTGATAATGGGACTTTCTCTTGTTTCCAAGATCCTACCAAAAACTGTGATCAGCTTACCCTTTCCAAAAGATCAGTACAAGATGATCCCTTATTAGGTTCATAGCCCCTAATAAGGAAAGACCCATAACCTACAGCTTGCTTCAAACTGATTTTCAGATCTGATACAATAAAACCTGATTTTACCAACCAAACCATTACCATACCACTATATTATCCTTACGAGCAACTTTACCAATCAATAGTAAACTAGTAGCTAGATATTATTTACCATTTTTTCTCTTTTTCAATATGAGTTTTTAGAGTTTGTAAGGATCTACTTACACGGTTAGCTATAATTATTCATGTAATGATTATTAGTGTTGATTAATAACTTAAATATTGAATACAGTTATGCACTTAATGCTATTCACAAAAAAAAAAAAAATAATAATTCGACATTAATTTATTAATACATCAGAAAATTTTCAGAAAAATCTTCAGAAATCTTTAAAGATCTTTGAAAATTTTTATAAGAAAACATTTTAATAATAAAAAATTCCAGAGTTTTTTCATAATAAAAATTTTTAAAAATATGCGAAAATTTATAATGTATTAAAATAAATATTTATTTAATAA